GAAGGAGACTCGGGAACTGAGGGAGTCCAGGATAGCGACCACCATAGCCCATCACAGGTTAGAGGTGTTAGGTAAGAGAAAAAGCTAACCCATCAAACACATGTCGCTGACAATGTTCCAAGTGCTTCACCAGTTATGATCCACCAGGCGCTATCCCAGGACACGCACGGTGACGAACACGAAGAGCAAACGGACTTCGAAGGAACCTCACAGATGGGTAGTACTCCTCTGAGCACCGAGGATATCCATACCATTCTCTCAACCCCATTCGCCCCAGGGCCCGGCAATCCCCTCTTCGGCTGCTTTGAGACAATGGAGGAGGACTTGGATATCGAGGCTTTACCGACTTCTATCCCAGAAACGTCACCCTTGAGGCGAAAAGCGGCGTTCTGGACAAACTTTCCATTCGCCAACACAGAACTACTGGATCTGTTGTTGACAGAGCCCGAGCCCGAGCAGGGTGACGATCAATGTCTAAATTTGAGCAATCTCCTCAATTCTCCGTTGTTCGGGAGTCCAAAGCAGGTGAGGGGCCGTAGTGAGCCACTAGAGGACGACGAGGCCCAAAGGCCCGCGAAGAGGGCGCGCGCAGAAGATACTGCAACGTCCCCAAGTTCAAATTATACCGACAGGGTTCATATCAAGTCGTCGATGGGGAAACGCACGCACGGAGCTGGAACGAGGCGTTGATCAAAAAGGTGCAGCGCCAAGATGATCCCCAATACTAGCTCGCCTTTGTAGACCGACGAACGTAAATACACGAACCATCTCTTATCAAAAAGTATATCCATCATTCAATTGAGAATTATAGCTAATACAATGAATTCAAAAGTCAGTGAAGCTTGGGAAAAGGAATACAAGGTACGATATCGATATGACTCGGTGGTATAGAGGAACTTGCCGTTGATATCCTATATTGAATCTGTCTGAATTATTCACATAAGTTACCCTGCAATTCCTCTCAAAAATCTTTCCTGCCGCTCGTTTTGCCACTAGTCGGCACAGCCACCTTACTGCCCTTGTCCCCCACCTTCACTACATCCGCTCACACTAGACAGACCAACCTTGTGCCTCATTTTCAAGAATGGACGAGAACGAAAAGATTGGCTTGAATTGCTGGACGGTGGGAACTTCCGCCAAGGATGCTATTTTAATCAAGATAAGACCCAACAAAAATGTACACGATCTAAAGAGAGCAATATGGAAGGCACAAGAACTCAAGAGTTTTGAAAAGCTGAGCTCGCTCTCTTTGATGAAAGTGGGCAGCCTTTTGTAATCAACCCGTGAACAAAGACTGATCTCAATTCTCGATAGGTCGATCTCGATTTTCAAGTATCAAATGACCAGGCAAACCACCTCGATGAAAACTCAGTAATGGAGGCGCGCTTCCCACTATCCAATTACTGGTCGTCACAACCGCCTTCCGACCGCATTCATGTTGTCGTGAGAACTAATGTCGCCCCAGCGAAAACGCCTCCTCGAAAGCAATATCAATACGAAATCACCCCATCGAAGGATGAGGTAACTCGCAGGACGGAGCGCCTAGAGCCCTCTACTAAGGATAGAATCGTAAAATTATTGAAAAATGGGGTCGAATTGCCCCGTTGGAGGCTTCAACATGGCCCTGAAGAGATGTGTGAATGGGTTGATCGGTTAGAGTTGCCCGCCCTAAAACCAAACTCGCCCTTCCCATCACTTCTACTCCACAAGTTAGGCAAAATGACTCACGACAAGCACCTGTCGGAACGTATCAAGAATTTTTTCTCTTCTGACTTCAAATTTAGGTCAGTATTTTTTAAGTAAGCTTAGAATAATCTCTTATCAGTCGTTCCGCTAGGTTTCTTTGTAATACATCGGGGTCGGGCAAAACTCGCTTGCTTTTCGAGGGACTTTGCCGCCACTGGGGGTTCTATTTTACTGCACGCCTATCCCCCGATTATCTTGGTTCTTCAGATTTGGTGACCATCTTGGATCACCTTGAGATTCCTGGTCGTCTCATCCCACTCCCTCAAGAGAACATTACGGAGACACTAAATCGGAACCGTGAGGTCGCCAGTCGTTCATTTCTTCTACTCCTTTATATTCGAATGGTCATCTTCCGCATATTCCTTGAATGTGCGAAAGAGGTTGATGGTGAAATTGTGGAGGAACACAAAAGACAGTGGCTTCTTGTTCAAGTTGTACCCGAGCAACTCCTGGGGGCTGATATATTCGAAGGTTATCTTCATGCTCTAGGTAGACCATCTTTTGATGATCTCCATGAATACATCTCCAACGAGAAACTCAATATCTACAATCTTCTACGAGAAGACAAGATATTTTGTGTACTGGATGAAGCACAAAGCCTTACACACAAATTCGAAAATTGTTTTCGATCCGACAAAGACAGGACAGTGCCTCGACCTATCCTTCGCGAACTGATCAACACCTGGGGAAAAAAGGTTTATGTCGTTATATGTGGAACTGGGATTTCGATGCAAAAAATGAAGAACGCTACCAATTCTGCAATTGTAAAACTCGACGAGAAATTGCCGCCATGGACCGATGTCGGCGCATTCGATACCAAAGAATCCCAAACCCTCTATTTGGCTCAATACCTCCCTTCCAATTATATGAACTCCCTCTTGGCTGAAAGATTGGAATATTGGTTGTGCGGCAGGTAAGCAATCGCCGGTCCAATGACGGGGCGCTAACAGCTTCTAGATACCGATTTACCACCACATATCTCCAATTCCTATTGAAGAATGGTCTGGGGTCCCCGCACTCAGTATTGAACGAATACATTTTGGCAGTGACAAATCGTGAAGTTGCCGAAGAAGGATTACCACAAGAAAGTCCTCTTCGTTCAGGCCTCAAGTCAGAAATTAAGGAACGTATGTCTGGTCAGGAAGCCGATTTCATTAGCCTCCAGAAGAAGTTTGACGAAGGTGTGTATTTGCCATATCTTGGATGACAAGTTGTAACGCCAAGCCCAGAACCAAGCTTCAAGCACACTTTCACTTCCTTTTTCTACGAATGCCTGCTCACTGGCAAAATGAGAAGTGTGGGTGGGGAGAGTGGTGATCTCCTAGTCGAATTGGGAATCTCTAGGTTCAAACAATCTGGACCTGAACAAGCTCGAGAGGCTGAAACAACTGAACGCATCATGATTCTGAAATTATGCGACTTCTTCGAAACCTTAAAAATGACAATGGAAAGTCATTTGATTCATGAACTCGGGGCCAGCAATCCGTCTTCCAGAGGCATAGCCTTTGAGCCTTTTGGAGCCTTTCTCCTTGCTCGGGCTTTCTCTTCTCCGAGGCCTCTCTCCGAGGTTTTCGACTTTCTTGAAAATTGTACAATCCAAGACGAACCAGCAGAACTGGTCACGCTAAGAAAGATCGACGGTCAGTTCAAGTGTACACGTCTCGATATCAAATCCGATATGCAATCACAAAACATCGGCCGCTCTCCTTCTGACCCTGAAGCCATGTTGGAATGGCTCGAGGATCCAAAAGGAGTTGCATTCTGCTTCCCTCCCAATACAGTCGGGCCTGACCTTGTACTGGTACTTCGATTGACGCGAACTAACACCGTTCTTCGCGTGGTTGTCCAGTTTAAAAATACAGCAAATTTGTCTGGGACGGCGCGGGCGAAGGAGACTCGGGAACTGAGGGAGTCCAGGATAGCGACCACCATAGCCCATCACAGGTTAGAGGTGTTAGGTAAGA